TGGCATTTGCTGTGGTTCTGGGTGAATACGCACGTGGCCCCAGAAACTCATTTTCTGAGCTCCTGAATTACATGTTTTAAAAAATTCTCAGTTTAAAAATCTTTTAAAGGGCCGGGCGCAGTGGTTCACACCTGTAATCCCAGCACTTTGGGAGGCCGAGGCAGGCGGATCACAAGATCAGGAGATCAAGACTATCCTAGCTAACACGGTGAAACCCAGTCTCTACTAAAAATACAAAAATTAGCTGGGCATGGTGTCATGCACCTGTAATCCCAGCTACTCAGGAGACTGGGTCAGGAGAATCACTTGAACCCAGGAGACAGAGGTTGCAGTGAGCAGAGACTGCACCATTGCACTCCAGCCTGGGCAACAGAGTGAGACTCTGTCTCAAAACTTTTAAAGAACAATCAGCTCATTTTGTGTGTGTGTGTGTGTGTGTGTGTGTGTGTGTGTGTGTGTGTGTGTATAAAATACAGAAAATATAGAGACAGAAAAAGTTATCCATCATCCTAGCAGCAAGTAGCATAAACAACTGTTGACATTTTGGTATGCTTCTGTTAAAAGTTTGTGGGTGTGTGAGCGCATTTAAAATTGTTGATCCAAACAGTTTAAAAGCAGTCAACAAAATTTTGTGTTAGAGTGGCAGCACTTTAGATAATTAAAAAAAAATTTTTTTTTTTTTTGAGACGGAGTCTCGCTCTGTTGCCAGGCTGGAGTGCACTGGTGCAATCTCTGCTCACTGCAACCTCTGCCTCACTGATTCAAGTGATTTTCCGGCCTCAGCCTCATGAGTAGCTGGGATTACAGACACACACCACCACCCCCAGCTAATTTTTGTATTTTTAGTAAAGGCAGGGTTTCACCATGTTGGCCACGATGATCTCGATCTCCTGACCTTGTGATCCGCCTGCCTTGGTCTCCCAAAATGCTGGGAGGCGTGAGCCACCACACCTGACTCCTCTGTCTTTTCTTTTTCCATTTTAAAATTCTTTATGAAGGGGCTATCAAGTGTCTACCTTAATTTAACCTACTTACCCACTCTCATAGGAAATAGTTTTTTAATCCTAAATAATGTCATTATGATCATGTTTGTTTGTGCATAAAGCTTGAAAAAGCCATGGAGCTCTGAATTATTTCCTCAGGCTCTACCCAATCCTAGAGCCAGAAAATATGAGCATTTTTGAGACTCTTGATATAACCCACACATAAATCCCATGGATGTGAGGGTATTCCTGCTTTCCCTCAGCCTCACCTGCATTTGGAATTGCCAGTTGCTAGATGAAAGACAGTTCAATACAGATTAAACTCACTCGGCCCATTCATTCTGGGATGAATCAACAGGAAATTCTGAGAGAAGCTGGCTAGGATCAGAAAACCAGCAAGGGCCGGGTGTCCAGCAGAGGGCGCTGCGGCGCATGCCAGTCCTGGGCCTTCAGGAGCAGCCCCGGGTATGTGCCTGAGTCGGTGACGTCCTGGCACAGGCTGCCCTGGAGAGAGGAGGGTAAGGACAGCATGGGGGAGGTAGGAAGGTCCAGAAAGCAGCCGGCCACCTCCTTTTCAATTCTGGCCTTTCAGCAGGCATCCAGGAAGACAAGCTTTGCTAACAGCCTGGCTCCCTAGCAGGTGTCAGGACTGAAGAGGCGAAGCGCTTCGAGTCCAGAGGTACCTTTCATGAGCCCGAGGCCACCCGAGAAACCTGAAGCCTGCAGAAAAGGAAGGGGTTGAGGCCCCAGGGACCACACTAGGGCTGGCCCTGCAAGGCCGCTAAGTGGACTCTACCTGCTGTTGAGAACACACCCTTAAGGACTCTCTCTCCTAACCTCGAACAGGGCGTTGAAAGCATCGACCAGATTGCCAGCCTTTGCCAGTCTGACCTGGAAGCCGTGCGGGCGGCAGCCCGGGAAACCACACTGTCATTTGGTAAAGTAGCACATCCCATGTAGCGCAGCGGGGTTCCTGGGGCCCTTAGAATCTGTGCGAGGCCACACCCAGCTCTTCTGGCAGGTGCAGAGCCGACCTCTACCCCTTGCAGCATTCTGCCAGGACAGGCCTCGTTTGAGGCTGGGGTGGCAGGGAATGTTTGCTGTCTTCTTAGACTTTATGATCTTTGGGACAGAGGCCAGAACCAGGGCAGGGTTCTGACTTGCCAGAACATCCTAGAGGTAAAGGCAAGGCCCCTGGGCAGTGGAAGTCACCAGGTGGGGGCTCTGCACATACTCCCTCCCCCACTGCTTTGCAGAGACCACCGAGACCCACAGTCACTAAGCACTAAGGCCACCTTGGCCCAGGAGAGCAGGAAATGCTAAGGCGGCAGGAGCCAACCTCGTGACAGAGGCCTTTGCTATTTCAGGTGAAAAAGGACGGTTAGCTTTTGAGAGGATGGGCAAACTGTGCTCAGAACAAAAAGAAGTCTTTGGCCAGGAGGCAGATGTTGAAATCACAGTATTTTAAAATATACTGGCTGATGAGCAAATCTCACCTCGGTATTTTTTTTTTTTTTTTTTTTGCTGCTGCTTGGCCTGCACGTAATGCCTGAGCTCTGGGTAACGGTGCTGTCTGCTCCTCTAGGAGTGTGAGCTGCCCAGAGCTCTGCCTAAGGCTCCAGCCACTGACCCAGGGCATGGGCTGGTCTTTCAGACAGGGTAGAAAAACACAAGGCCACGTACAGCGTTCCAAGAGCTGCACTGCCTCAACGTGGCCCCCCGACTTCTGGCTGAGGGTCTGTGCGACTCTCCCAGAGATGCAGAGCTGAGCTGCGCTTGGTGGCCACCTACAAGAGGGCCAAGGCCAGGGAAAGTGAGCGCTGAATAAAAGGCTCCACGATGACGGGATGGAACTCCAGGCCTCCCGGCCGGTCAGCCGCTCAGCACTTCTGGGTCAACAGACACTGGGATGGAGAAGGCTGCTCAAGTCATTTCAGCCGCAGCCAGCTGGCACCCTGGTGAACTGGGGGAAGAGGGGAAGGCACAAAGCCAGGTTTTCTACAGCCACACTCTCAGTCTGACCTGCAGCCGGCGTGCCACGGAGCCCACAGACGGCGGCTGCTGGACTGTGAACCTCACCTTCCCTCTGCTCAGCGGCGCAAAGGGAAGAAGCCACCACATCAGCCCAGGAGCCCTGAGCAGCACGGGGCAGTAGGGCCGCTCGCTCCCCAAATGCAATCCAGCTTCGGAGTCAATCGAGGGCCTCGTCAATAAACCGCTCCAGAAGCCATCAGCTGCCCTGAAGAAAGAGTTCACTGAAGAACACGTTGCTTTAAAGAAAGAAAATTAGTTTCCTATTTAAGTCTATTAGAAAAAAAGCAAACCACATCCTGAGAGTCTGTTAATGTAGAGAGAGCCTAGGCTTTGAGGGTGCTGTAAACACGGCATCAGAGAACTTTCTCATCCAAACTTCCTGTATATATTTTGTGCTTTTTTGGTTTAACTTTTAGAAAACCTTGTTCATATGTTCAATTTTCTGAAATTTCAATTAAAGTATTTTAATTGGTGTTTCACTTTTTACCCAAAAGAGTAGACAGCGGTTGTTTCCCCAAATACCTGCCAATGGGAGGGGGTCACTCCTGTGGTTTCGTGGGGTGCTGTGAGGACACCTGGAGGAGGGGCCTCAGGCAGCGGCTCTGGGCAACGCCGTCTCCGGGCTTCCCTGCGTGCTGGTGAAGGCTCCAGGCGTGCTCACCCTGTGGGCATTCTGCAGCATGGCCTCTGCCCTTTTGCCCCATCTGATTTGTCAGTCCCCCTCCTTTTTTAAGCACCAGCAGTACTAGCCTAGAGCAGGGGTCCCCAACCCCCAGTCCACATACCTGGTACTGGTCCAAGGCCTGTTAGGAACTGGGCCGCAGGGCAGGAGGGGAGCAGTGAGTGGGCATTACCGCCTGAGCTCCGCCTCCCGTTAGATCAGCTGCTGCATTAGGCTCTCATAAGAGCGCGAACCCTATTGTGAACTGTGAGATCTAGGTTTTGTGCTCCTTATGAGAATCTGATGCCTGATGACCTGAGGTGGATCCCAAAACCGTCCCCCACCACCCCCAGGTCTGTGGAAAAACTGTCTTCCATGGAGCTGGTCTCTGGTGCCAAAAAGTTTGGGGACCATGGCCATGGAGCAACCTCCCTCTTCTTGAAAAGCTTAGATGACCTTTTTCATACCTGAAACGGTGGGAGCCACACTGACATCTGCAGCCCCAGGCCCCTGTGGGGCCACATGACCACAGCCTGTCCTGTTGCTGGTCTCAGAAGCCTGGGTCTGCAGTCAGCTTTGAAACAGCTGAGGAAACTTGGAGGGTACCAGGGAACTCTTTGTACCGTTTCATTTTGCAAATCCAAAATTACTTCAAAACAAAAAGTCAAAATAAGTTTCCAAGGAATTTACAGTTTAATTTTGTACACAAATGAAAGACTATCTTATGTCTAAGTCAATTCTATATCAAATAGACTTTATGTACTGAGATGTGGTAACCATTGTCTCTTAGAGGCAATTGGGTAATGGACACAGTTTTGAGATTACAACTTAAAACACTGTTCTTCAAACACCACTGATAAGTTTGTGAAATTATCTGAGGGCCTATGCATGCCAAGTGTGGGTTTTGGGAAGGAAACGCATTGAAGCCTAAGGTGGTCAATAAGCTCCCAGTCAGGAAAGCATTCCAGCCTGAGGGCACCGTCCACGACGCTGAGGTTAATTCTGGGGAGTGGAAAACCCTAACCCCAGTTGACTGACAACATCTGTTTCACATCAGCAAGGATGGAAAGAAACAGGAGTCGCTCATCCCGGCTTAGGTCTATTAAGCAAAGAAAAAATGGGAAGCACCCCAAATTCATGTTCTTTAGAAAAAAATTTTATTGTTGCAGCTAAAAGGCAAACCCATCATGAATATGGCCAAGTTGGAAAACTGTACAGTCTGACAGTTCTGTGAGGTCACAGAAGACCCTGAGACATGCCCCCCGCCCACCCAGTCATGCAGCCACGTATCCACACACACCTGAAAAGGTATTATACCAAAACACCTCGCTTTTTTTTGTTTTTATTTTTGTAAAAATGGTTTATTCCACGGCCATTGTAAAAAATAATGACCTGATGAGTAAATATTGGCTTAAGGCATATAGCAGAGCAGCTCGCTACTTCTCCAACATACGTGGAACAGGGTGGAGAGCCCCAGCCGCTCTCCAGGGTAGGCGGTTAACCAGTACGTCCATTTTGAAATGCTACTATATATACACACCCAAACTACTACATACATATACAGGACTTAAAAACAACAAGCCCAGCTCAGAATGCTTACAGCCTGGCACCTAAGCCTTATCCACACCTCACCACAGCTCTGCGGGTGACGCCTCGGATGTTCCCGTCACAGAATCTCTCTGTACTGGCTTCTACCACGAGAAAGGCAAAATGTGAAAATGCTGGCAAGAGAGTAGCTCCGGAGCTACAGCTGCCGTGTTTTTCTTGTTAAAAAGCCACTTAATGTGGAGGTCTTAAGTTCCTTTTGCAGGAAGAGTCGTGAGCACCAGCGGGCCCGCACAGGGTTCAAGGGTGGAGCAGACGCGCCTCTCTCGGCAAGGTTAGCCAAGACAGAGACGGTGGCAGGCTGCCTAAGGGACCGTCACCCAGGCTGTTTAAGAAATGTGGTTTCCAGCAGTTGCCTCTCTTCCAAATCACAGTCTAAGTAGAGTGCTGACTTGGAATAGTGGAGGCTGATCCCAAAGGTGGGCGGGGGGGTCCCTGCTGGCCTCCATCATGTCCAGAGCGTGAGGTGTGAATATGGCTTCCATACCCTTGGAATGTCTGAGTTACAGCGAGACCCTGCTGTACCAGGACAGGCCGGGCCTCACCAGGAAGTCACTAGAGTGTCATGCCAGGAATCCAGCAAATGCCTATTCCTGGAAAACTGTACCCTATTGCTGAGTGACAATGACTTCAGCAACAGGCTTAGGAACCACAGCCACGTAATGATCAGGTCATGCACAGGCAGGGTAGGCTTGGACATGGGCACGTGAGTAAGCGGAGATCCAAGTTTCTCATTTCAAGCACATATTTTTCATCAGGACCCAAGACGACCGTACATGCATTCTAATACACTTGGGGGAGTGGCGATGAGAACTAGAGCTAGCAGGTAACAGGGAGGAGAATAAGCGGGACTAAGTCACCTCACATCATGTTTCTTATTAAATACCCACGTGTTCATTATATATTATACCATTGTTCTACCTTCTCACGTTACCCACAGTATCACTAAATAACGACTGCTTACAACCGTCCTCCTTCCCAGTACTGGTCTGATGCAGCAGGCCCATGGCAAAGTCTTCCATTCCCAGTACTACCTGAGGATTGATTATTGTACTTTTTGATAAAGCCCTTGATGCAAGGCTGACATCAAAAAATTTTAATACATTATTGGTTCAAGAAAATGCTAGTGCACTATGGACGCCTTTAGGGGAAAGTTTGTTTAAATAAATATGAAGTGGAGAGTTGCTCCCTGTAGATTCGAGGAGGCTGTTGGTGTGCCACCCACTGGGCTGCTCCAGATGGGAGCCCTGGGGTGGCGGGAGCCCCGAGTCTGGCGCAGGCCCCTTCCCTCTGTGCCACCAGCATGGTACTCTCCTTCGCTCTCCTCAAAAATGGCTGTGGGTTTGGTACTCAAAGGGGAAGGGGCAAAAAGTAAAAGGATGAGGGGTGAGACACACATCCAGGGAAGATGGGTTTTAGTGCAGAACCAACGTCCGTCAGGGGCCCGGCTCTCTACGCGGTCCGGCGGCCCTTACCTACCGCGGCATGCCTGCTAGTCGGGCGTGGGCTCTGCGGGCAGAGGCGGACAGTGGGTGGAGGTGGAGTGGAGGAGGGTCAGGCTATGTGTTGCTGTTGAACAGGAACTGGAATGAAACCAAACAGTTCAGATGAGCCTAGACCCACACCCGCAGAGCTGTCGCCTCATGCATGACCCCGGCCACACCCCCCGGCAACTCCAACCTCTGAGGGAGCAAAGGGGGTTTTGGTCTTTCTTTTCACAGTAGCCCCCTCTCCCCAAAAATCACCCCCAAGGAAAAAATTGTTTGCATTTTGCAAAACCATCTGATGTACTCGGCCACCTGGAAAGAGGTAAAATATTTAAAACGATGAAACAGTCTGAGGTCATTTCCATGGCCAGAGCTCTGAGGCTAGCCCTCTCTTCCCCTTATAGAACAGCAACACACGTCTACCGTGAGAATTTTGGCTGAAATGGCACTTCTCCCAATGAGGTGGAGCCTGCTTCTCTGAATCAACAGCGGATTGACATGCCAATGGCCACCCTGACCCCAAGGCAGAGGCCTGGAGGAAACCCATTTATGGGGAAGGGGTGATGAGGGCTGGTACATGAGCAACATGGCTGCCACAGGAGGGAGCAATGGAGAAAGGACGATGGAAACCCAGTGGGGACACCGTGAGCAGAAGCAGAGGCGGGTTTTGTTTTCTAGATGGCCTTTTGCTGCTGTTCTTCCTACTGTGGGAAAGCTCAAAGCCCCTGTCCTGGCTCAGTGTGCACACAGCTGAGGGGCCTGAGCGCAATAGCGTGCTAACCCTCTTCTCCAAGGGAGTTTACATTCATAAAAGTTTGGGATTCCTTCCCTGGGAAATCAAATACAAATTATATAGCTGATTATATCACCTAAGGGTATGAGAAAGTTTCATAAGTGCCTATTTTTTTTTCCAGAAATAACAAAAGCTGCGTTTTATAAAGGTTAAAAACAACAATGTGTTGTAACTCTTTTTTTTTTTTTCAAAAACAAATGAACAAAAAAAAAAAAAAAAAAGAGAGAGAGAGAGAGAAACAGACATATTTGGCATTTTCTCTACTTACTCCTGAATAGGTTAAGGCCCTGAGATTAGACTCTTATATTCTTGGGACCAGAGGGCTCCTTAAAACCCCAGTGCATCGATCCTTAATTCTCTTGTTAGCCCTTCCACAGTTCCAGACTTTAAAACCTTTGCTCTGTTTCTTCTGAGACTGGCTCAGATGCGCCACAGAACTGAATCCTACCATCGGGCTAGCGGCCAGTGCTCTCTGCACACACGCACCTCGCCAGCGCTCTGTCAGTGGAAACATACCCTGTAGCACAGGTACGCGCCGGCCGTGAGGACTGTAGCCATGCACATGTTGACCAGGAAGGGCTTCCAGTGAGTCAGAGCATGGTCCTCCTCCTCCTCAGGCGGTGACGGCTCTCCTTTGGCTGGGAAGGCAGCCTGTGCACCTCGAAGACTTCCCCCCACGACCCGACTTCTAACTTCAGTGTCTTGACTCATGCTGAGGAATCAGAGGGGCAGGGATGGGTTACTCACTTGGGAGAAAATGAAAGGCAAGGATGCTGCTACTGTGGCAGGAACTCTAGGAAAAAACAAGCCACACATAGACAGAGTAGGCTGATGTTAACCCTGCCGGCCAGCCAGCCCCCTCTGCTTGGAGGGAGGGCCAGGCCAGGACCCACATCAGCCTGCAGTCCACTTATCACCCCTCCCCAGGTACTTCAGACAGCAACCACACCCAGGGCAGGGAGCACCGGTGCCTGGGCAAGTGGTCACTGATGATCTGGCTGGAGGCCCCACTGGTGTACACACTATTGTGTGACTTGCTTTCTCATGTGCTGCATTTGCAATGTCTGGCCACATCAGTACACACCCAGATATCATTCTTTAGGAGCTACAGGACATCCCAACACGCAGAGAGAACATAATCGATCAGATCGCTGATTATAGCATTGGGTCGTCTCTAATTCTTCACCACTATAAACAATGCCACAACACTCACCTACCTACACATATCTTTACATGATTGTTTTGAGAATGGCTACGAGGTACATTTCTCCATGTATACAACTGCTGGGTCAGAGTAAGGACGTCTCTTAAAACTTCCCTCCAGAAAGCAGGGACCAAGGCACAGCCAGCAGTGACACCTCCAGCTAGAACTAACACCTACTCGTTCTGCAAGCTTGCCGTGCACGGCCACCTCCTGCAAGCAGCCTTCGCTGACAATCGCAGCACACACTTCTATCATATCACTGTCCAGGGGCCCCCACCAAAATAGGCCTTGGGTCTGCCTCTTTTCCAAAAAGATGGTCTAGAACACAGACCAGGGGACATGGAAACATGTGGACATGTGCTAGTTAACTCAGTGCTCCACATAGGTACTCACTAACAGATGTCAAACTGCAAGGAAGTAAAATGGGAATTTAATCAAGACCACATAAAAAAGGTTACACTCCCCAAAGGACCACTGTGGGGCCTGAAAATAGTACACGGTCAAGCCTGGACATCACATTTCAGGGCTGGCCGGAAGCCTGGGGGAGGGCACTGTCAGGGGCACAGAAAAATTATAGCTACTCAGTGGCACTAAGCTACTCATTCCAAAAAGCAACACAAGGTGGCGCTAGAAGCCCACAGAAGTCGTTCATGTGCCTCGGCCTCCCGCAGCCAGGAGTGGAAGGGCTGCAGCACCCCCTCGAGTCCCGTTCCCCAGGGATGTGGAAGCACTGGCTGCCAACAGGAGGCCCCATCCACAGGGTTTCGGCACCAGCGTGTGATTCTAGAACAGAAGGTCATTTCCCCTTACCCCAGCAAGCTGGGACCCAATCATATTACCTTTCCATGCTGTAGGGTGTGGCATTTAAGGAGCTTCCTGTTTCTTCCTTGATGGGGCAGACTTTATCCTCCCCGGTCTCATCCTTCACCCATTGGTGGTTTGGGAAGAACTCCCTGCATTTCCCATTGTGTGGCTCCAGGATTCGTTTCGGTGGCCGGGGAGGCGGGGGGACATGCTCGGGTGGGGGCTCCACGTCCTCATGGGAAAGCTCCTTCCACTGATCCTTGAAAGAGCAGCAAGAGGAAGTCCTATTAGTGCTGGCGTTGGCTGTTTTGTCGGGAAATCCCTTCGCGTGAGCGGAGTGGTGGCTTGGCGAGGGGCGCTCGGCTTCTCGGGCTGCAGCCATATACTGGGAAGATGAAATCTTCTGAAAATAAAATCTCTTCTCCTATCGATGCTCTCTATGTGAGCACTTCAAGCACCACAAAGTGGAACGTGGTGAACGTTCTGACAACTCTCTAGCTATTTTAAACATGAAGAGCAGCTACACCAGATGGTGTTTGAATGGTTAGAAACTGACAGCCTCCTTCAAGGACAAAAAAGTTAAAACAGTCACACCTGGATTCAAAGAAAAGCAATGCTGACCTGCACGGAAGAGTCTCCCATGATGAATTTGGCCCCTTCAATCACAGCCAGATAGGAGAAGCGCAGCTGGTCTGCTGTCTGAATCAGCCCCATCCGAAACTTCCTCATTTCTAACAGCACTTTCTTGATATCAACGGAAGAAGGGTCTTTCCTTTTGTCCATCTGAAAGCCAGAGAGGAGACGTCAGTCAGCCAGGTCCCATTCTCGAGGGCAATGTGACTAACACGTTAGGATGTCTGTCCCCTCCCAACCTCATGCTGAAATGGGATCCCCAGTGTTGGAGGTGGGACTGGGTGGCAGGTGTCTGGGCCAGGGGGTGGGTCCCTCATGAAAGGCTTGGTACCTTCCCTGACAATAACGTATTTACAGAGATCTGGTTGTTAAACAGTCTGGGACCTCCCCCATCTCTTACTCCTGCTCCCTTTCACCTTCCACCGAGACTGGAAGCTCCCTGAGACCTCCCCAGAAGCCAAACAGATGCTGGTGCCATGCTTCTACAGCCTGCAGAACCATGAACTGGTTAACCTCTTTTCTTTATAAATTACCGAGTCTCAGGTACTCCTTTAGAGTGACGCAAAAATGGACTAACACAGAGACTTTCTCTATTTCAGAAGAGGAGTGCTCCAGTTTCTACTTGGGAAAAAACATCAAGGCAGAGCACGTGGAGGAATTCCCTGGGATGCCCACAAGGGCCTCCTTACCAGCAAGAGGCAGGTATCAGCCAGACAGAAGGTCCCAGACCTGCCGATGCCTGCACTGCAGTGCACCACCACGGGGCCGTGCTCCGGGCTGAGCGACCCCGACTCTCGGACTTTGAAAAGAAAGTTCAAGAATGAGGCTGGCGATTCAGGGACTCCAAAGTCAGGCCATGTGGTATAGTGGAAATGTAAGATTTCTCGAGTTTCTTGAGTCTGAAAGAGAAAAATTCTCATGATGGTTCTCAGAGAATCATTTGTACAGAAATCACTAGTTCCAAGTTCACACAGAGTCACCTTCCACTCAGGGACCTCTAAGAGGAACATTAATTTTCAGACTTTCTCCCAGGGTCCACACACCCAGTCAACAAACACCATGCCCCGGGGCCAGGCCCTGGGCTTGAGGCTGAACCCTCAGGATGCACCTGCTTAGACTTCACGTCCCTTAGGATCGAAGAGTCCCCCCACCTCTTTTCTCTGATGTCCCTGTCACTTCCACTGTCTACATGGTTACAACTGGTTTCTCTCCGTCTCACGAGTCACTATGATGCTGTGCAGCCACCCACAAAAATCTTGTCATAAAGCCCTGCAAGGCCTCCTGTGAAAGAGTGAACAAGGAACAGCAGGTGAGGCACTGGCTCCGGGCAACTTTCGGATGGGGCTTAAAGATGATCTGGAGGTTTCAGAGGATTGTCACTTTAGAGGAAAAAGTAACAGACTTGGTCTCCAAAGAGTGGTGACCCCAAGGTGTGGCTCAATGCCCAGCTGAAGGGGCGGTCAACGTGGACAACATCGGTCCATGAACCGAGTGTGTCCCGTGTGCTGGCGCTGCGTCTCCCAGCAACTGACCCAGGCAGGTACTCCCATTCTTCTGACGAGCAGGCGGACGCTTGGAGGCAAGAGTCCACACTCAGAGGCTGCTGCAGACTCTTTTGAAAGGAGGACCCCAGCCCTTGCCCCAGAGTCTCTTCCCCTGGCTGGGTCTGCCCCAGAGGAACAGAAACAACCGCCTGGGGTCTGTTTCCAGGTCTGCTTCTTCCTTGAGGCTTCCAGCAGCTGTGAGGAAACGGCAGCCCTCGCAGGAGGGGAGGGCGCAAGATCTTCAATGACCTAAGAGCTCACAGGAAATGGGAACCAGTCACCTGGTAAGCAAGGCCCTGAGAGGGGAAGGGCTCCAGAAGTGAAAGTCTCCTGACATGGGCCCAGAATGGCAGCCACAGACAGGAACCGCACCAGCCTAGAGGGCTTCCCTGCGGCCCGGTGCCAGGGCCACCTGGAGAGCAGCTGACAGCAGAACGATTCAGGCCACAGACCTGCTGACGATGCCTTCCTTCACGTGACGAATGGCCATGCTATGCCAACCATGTGCCAGTTACTGTGCCAGGGAGGCGGGGGCAAAGATACCACCTCACTCTCACAGAGCTCATGGTATAGTTACTAGGATATCCCCCTGACTCTGCTGGGATGAGAACATGCAACACAGTATACAAAATTAACCCTGCCCCAGCCATTAAATACACCAGTAAATATTTAATATCTATTCAATATTAAATACAGTATCTTACACAGAACAAGGAGAAATTTGTGTGCGTTAGGGTAACTGCTAGAATCACACTAGGCAATACCATCCTTCTTCCCTCTCTGGAAAACCATATCCAATAACCTTAATGACATTAAAGAAAAAGAAATACTTCTATTTGGGGGGTGGGGGCAGGCAGAGAAGAAGAAAAGCCCTTAAAGTGTATTTTAAAACTGCGTAAGAAGCAAGCATGCCAAAAGCAAGTTTTCTTTTAATCCTCCTAGGTGTGGGTTACCACCTGCTGACACCCTCCCTCACACCTGCCCACCTCTTTCACAAGGAATTCATTCCAGCGTTGTGCTAGAACAGCCAGCCACGGCTGAGAAAAGCCTTTTAAAAACAAAGTCTGTTGGAGCAAACAGATCCTAACACCAAAACCTCGGAGCCGGCTGTGTTCGCTCTGTCAAGCAAAAAGCACACAGCTCTTGTGCTCTCTTCAAATTCAGTTTACCTCAACAGGCAGGAGTTTACCAGGAGTCACTCTCAATGTCAGCCTTGCAAATGCTAATTCTTTTTAAAGTCTACTGCATAAATCCTCCAGCACATTCCAACACACTGCCCATGATATTCCTGAGAATCCTCCAGAAAGTGCCTCCATCCACCGTACTCAGAGACCCTCTGCTCTGCCAGGGCTATGGCAGGGCTGGTGGCTCCGGCGCCGGCACCACCAGAGGGCAGAAAGCACTCTCAGCAGCTGCACCGCTGCCGTCCTCAGGAGCCAGGCAGCCCAAACCTCTTCTCTACTTCCTGGTAACCTGTGCTAAATTCTAGATCTTACTTCTACTATTTTTTTATTTATTTTTATTTTTGTTTTTGGAGACAGGGTCTTACCCTGTCACCCAGGCTGGAGTGCAGTGATACAAGCATAGCTCACTGCAGCCTTGAACTCCTGGGCACAACCAGTCCTCCTGCCATCAGCCTCCTGAGTAGCTGGGGCTACAGGAGCGTGCCACCTTGTCTGGCTAATTGTATTTTTGTAGAGACAGGGTTCTTGCTATGTTGCCCAGGCTGGTCTTGAACTCCTGGCCTCAAGTGATCCTCCTGGCCTCAGCGTCCCCAAGTGCTGGGATTAAAGATGTGAGCCACCGCACTCGGCTTACAACTAGTAACTGAACAACAGGAGCCACAATGACTAAAAAACAGTGCTTGAGAAGGGGAGACATGGGGTCACCCAGAAGCAGATCACTCCCCTGCAACACAGTCCTGGAGCCCCACTCCACACGGTCTCCCCGTGGCTCCACCTTCCCATCAGACAAAGCCCATGCTACACACCCATGGTAACTGCTAACCCTTCCCATGCAGGACCTCCCAGAGCCCTCGCAAAACCTGAGTTTGACAGAAGAGGAGACCAAGACATGGTGAGAAGTGATGTCCCTTGCCCCAATCTGATGGGCTGATAAGGTGGGGCCAGGATTCGACCCCAGCTAGGTTCCAGAGGCTGGTGGCTGGTCACCTTTCACTGGTGCCCCAGGGGCTGCCTCACACTCCCTCCACTGTTCCCCACAATGCCATGAACTCCTCCAAGTTCCGGCTCCAGGGGAATGATTCTGAAGCTCCAAGAGCAGAGCCTTCGGTGTGGTGCTGTTTACCACAATGCCTTGCCATGTTCTGATACCAACTTTTCCCAAGTAAGTAGCTGGTGTTATAAACTCTTCCTCCAACAATAAACCCAAGACCTGGCCCAGAAAACTTCCACTAGCGAAGAAACCAGAGTGAGCCCGAGACCCCTTCTTCTCTCTCTTCAGACTCAAAGACTGAAGACCACCAAGAAGGCAGCACATTTTGCTGGGACTTGCAAGCTGCTGCTTCAGTCCCTCTGCAGCTGTGCAAGCAGTCTTCTGGGTAAGAAACTCTTTCCCTCAGAACTGCTGTTAAAGGTCAGAAAGAGCACTGTGGCCTCCACCCTCCCGGGCACTCCGGGGCACTCGGGAGGTACACAAGTAAGTCCCGCTCACCACAGTGCCAAAACCACATCTTGCTAGGGGTATATAAGAGCCAGGAACACTGGCATCAGGTAGTATCACCCAAGGCGGAAAAGGAAGCTGCAGTGCTGAAGGGTGGGCCACACTTACTGTAAGGTTTTCCAATTCTAGCTGTCGAACTGTATAATATGACTTGATATCTTCAGAGATCAATGTTAATTTCAAATTTGTGTCTTCAAAGATCATTTCTTTTTCTTCTTTTTGTGGCCAGTACTGTGCGCATTTTAACTAGGGGAACAAATAACAGAGAATTAGTGTGAGCAACCATTTTCCTATGGCAGGAGACTTGGAGCACATTCCTCAAGCTTCGTGGTAACCCAAAGGCCTGGGGTTTTCTGAACGTGGAAGTCATGGTCAGCCTAGATGCCTGCCTCATGGGGAGATGGGGGTGGAGGCACGAAGCTGCTGACCGGGGCCGGCTGGGCGGACAGGGCTCAGGCTTCCAAACCCATCAGCTCCCTGGTCAAACACGGCAATGGGGTCCTGCAGGGCTCTGACCCTTTCTCACTGTCGACAAGGTGAAGCCAGCCTGTACAAAAGGCTTCACAACTCCTCTACACAGGCATTTCAAACATTACCCAGGACGTGATCAGGGCTGCTGGCATAGAATGTAGGTGCCTTACCCTGCACAGAAAACTCATAGGCAATTAAAAATAAAAGCAGGGGAGACGGCAAGTGAGGCCATTTGGAGAGGCTGAAAGGCTGTCACCAGATGCAGACTAACTTTCAGAGAAGGCTTGGAGAGGCTCCCCAGGACTTGCCCTTTCATTCTCGTTTGGTTCAGTTCATTCAGAAAAACACTTTTGATCTTGTATTTTGATAATCTCAGAAACTACTTGATGTTCTTGATTTAAATGCAGCTCATTATGTTTGTCTTTAAAACAAGCAAATTTATGAAAATTTTGTTTCATTTAGGGTCAAGACAAAAACTGACTCGAATTTAGTGACATTTTACTTGAAGTAAGTTTCTGCCTCAGTTACACAAACGTTTCTGCTCATGGATAACTGCTGTGGACAAAAATGGCAGGTCAGCAGGGGCAGAGCTGACGGGTCAGCTCGACCATGTGCCTAGACAGAGGGAAAGTCAAAGCCCTCATGATTTTCAGCAAAAGAACTGTCGGCGTGTGTCAACAGCTCTTGGGCAAATGAGACTTGCAGGTCACGTGCACTAACCCACTCAATACCTCCTCTGGGGCAAAGGATGGTGTGGGTGAAGGCAGAGGCTTCAGGGCCAGCTGTCTGTCAGGAGACACTCCTGTGCCCAGCAGTGACAAGGTGGACTATGGGGGAGGGTTGAGGGGGAAATGCTACAGACATGCAGGAGGAATTCCGAAGAGGGAACTGTTTTAGGTCAGCCAAGGTTACAGGAAAGGGAGATCAGAGAAAGCTCTGTGCAAGAGGCCGGTTTTGAAGGGTGACTAGGATTTCCTAGTCAGTGACTGCAAATAAGCCAGGCCGAAAAGAGCAGCTGGAGAAGGGGCCAGCAGAGGCGCAGATCACAGCTGACTGGCAGCAGGCCCAGGGACCTGTGGCATCATCTGGGTGCAATGAGGAGCCAGGAAGCACTTGAGGAGGGTGAATACAGAACCTCAAATGCCTACTGGTCCAGCTCTACTGAAGCTGGAAGCTGCCCAAAAGACAAACCAAAGCAAAATGTGGGAGAAACAAATTAGGAAACAGCAGGTTGTGATGCCAGCATGGCACCAAACTTCACAGGGCCAGCCCAGAAGCCAACAGAGCTTTCTCAAGAGTCTGGACACGGGCCTGTCTGAAATCTTAGCTAGCTTCACCCATGTGACCTCCCTGGATCAGTTATGGGTTGCCAAAAGTGAACCCTTGAATGGGGACAATCTGTCACCATTGAAGCAATTCTGCCACTCTGCATGAAGGTGCTAATTATATGGCAAGACCCCCACTTAGCCAGAGTCAGTGTGGCAGCTGAAAGCAGGAACTTAGAAGAACATGAAAAGATGAATTACTCCCACACTTCTAACAACTAGATCTTATAATGCCTCAAGACCACAGAAACGAGACTGATATGATAGGTTCCACACCATCTGTGCTGGGGTGGGCATTCCACACGTGAGCAGACAGAGAAGGTAGCAAAGAACAGAAATGCAGGAGGAAGAGGCCACCATTCCTCATCTCATGAGCAGGGTAGATGAGTCTTAAATCTCACCTCCAGACAGCAAGCACTCACTTTCAAAACCAAACCTGACACCTAATAACCCTCTGTAATCTGGGTAAAGACTAACACTTTGGAAATCTACAACTGAGGAATCTGGAACACAACTGTCAATCACCCAATATTGTTTTTTAAGGACTCCTAGGTGTCTGTAGCAACAAGCTATGCTCTGTCATTTCCAGCAGAAATTTTTGTTTTAAAAGGGACAGGATCGCTATTTCCAGTTACTCTATTACATTGATATATACTGCCATGAAAAGTAGACTGATTTTTATTAGAATGCAGTCCTTCACCAGGCCTCAAATTGAGTCATATCTTGGGCTGGCACCAGAGGAACATGGCGGTGCCAACATGCTGGCATCGCTCGTGGCTGTTTCTACCATGAAGACAGATGTTAGAGTCCTTGAGGCCTTCCCAAACAAGTGGGCAGGCGATGTTAGGAAAACCCATGAAAGACATCTACAGCAACCCTGTGTGTGACGGGTAACTTGGTTTCACCAGAAATTATTAACACAGAGAACTAAAGTATGAGAGAAAAATGAATTTTATGGACCCTGCGATACAAAATGCAATGTCTTGTGCATGAAAGCAAACAGCAGCTTTGGTAATGATTTCAGGAGGGAGATACAGGTGATATTCTGCAATGGCCAATTAAACTCGTCTTGCTTACTTCCCCCAGCTAAACAACAATCCCAGCCCTTAGGCATGCACAGCCTATACTGACATGTCTAAAGTTAATCCTTAAATTGAACTAGTGACAACTCTGGCCATCTGGATGACCCCAGTCTAACACACACAATCATCTTCTGCATAACTGGCTTCCAGGAAGCCCAGGGTCCCAAAAGATGATAGGCATGTTTGCCAAAAGTAAGAGCGAGCATCCTATACTACGTGGTGAAGGAAGGAAATCAGAAAACAAGTATGCATTCAATGAAAACTCCCCCAAAACTGGTTTTACCGCAAGCTGTGTGGATCATTTATAATTAGATTAGCTGAGCAAATAAGATACTGTAACTTCTCATGATTTTTCCCAGCCAGCCCTCTGGGAGGGATAATGTGGATACAGAATTGAAAATGTTGATTCCAAAGAAACTTTAAGAATCTCAAACCATACATTGCTTTTCATGCCAATTTGTATGCCCAAGTAACCCTCGAGTAGAATGGGATACTTACAAAGGAAAGCAGGGACAGCTGGCCAGTTATCACAGTAACTACAGCAAAGCCAACCAGCTATGTTTCTGATGCCACCACAGTAACCCAAAGGGAAAGGTTGTCACAGTGGATCTGTGGGCCATTTATGATCAGCCTTGGGTGGGAGACAACGAAGCACAGGGACTGGTGAGGCCCGAACACATAACTACAACACTGGACACCGCTCGGACATGTACCTACAGCACTGGACACCACTCAAACAGGTAACCACAGCATTGGGCATTGCTTCTTGCTGTAATGTGACAACCACTGCTAAAGCAAACCTTGTGCTCATAGCAAAGGGGGGGGGTCGGCCAAACAGCAACAAAGAAATAAAAGAGCAAGTGCTACTGTATCTGGTAATTTCTGAATAAATGTCTTGATTTAAAATTCCCAACCCTCAATACCTCTAGGTATTGAGGGTTGGGAATTTTAATCAATCAATATCTACAGCAATGGTTCTCAACCAGGGGCAATTTGGCCTACCAGGGGGCACTGGACAAAGTCTGGAGTCTAGACAGAAACACATCTGATTGCCACATCTGGAGAGGGGCTGCTACTGGCATCTGGTGGGCAGAGGCCAGAGATGCTGCTAAGCATCCTACAAAGCCCAGCAAGCCACTCCCTGCCCCATCCCTAGCAGAGAAATGATCCAGCCCAAGAGTCAGTGGTGCTGAGGGTCGGAAGCCTGCAGATGGCGCTGTGCTGAACGCTCCCACGGGCTGCCAGGCTTCCCCTCCCTTGCAGTGTGCTGTGAGAACCTAATGCTTCCTTTCTTCAGTTCAAAATTGCTGACAAGTGGTGAAGGGTGGGGGTTTGCTTCACATTTGTAACTTCACATTTTACTAATCATGCTACTAAGGAAGGAAGAAAAAGTTTAAGAACCACCTTTCACTGAAAAAATTATTTTCTAAAACATGATACATTCTATCACCAACAGAACACTCAGGCAAGCTCCCTATCTGTTACTGTTGGGCAAATAAATGCTTTCATTACGCAAAGTCGGGTGGGGGAAGAGAAAAATCCCAATCCCAAAACAAAACAAACCCCTATGATTCTCAACATGTGCTGTCCTATGAGGGATACTTCATGGGAGCAACTAAGCCATTTCTTTGTGTGTGGTGGAGAGGAGAGGCTTTGTGGTTAATGCTTCAAGTGCTCGCTGCTGAAGTTTCCTTTGATGTGTTGCTTCTTAATACTTGGACTTGTTACACTCTAGGGCCATGACTATGCTGTCTTTGGAAGGGTGGCCTCTCTGGAGCCCTCACGTTCTTCTGTGACCGGAGGCAACCACGACAGCTGTGAGAGCGGTGTCCCAGCTGACCTTGGACCTGGCAAGGCCTAGGGACACCCCTGATCCTGGGCCCACACTCCTATTGGTCTCCATGATCCTCAGCTCACCTCCTCCTGGACCCTGTGCAGGGCTGGCAGTGCTGGGGAGCAGCAAGGGCTGGGAGGCCGAGGAGCCTGTGGCCCTGCTGAATGTTGGCCTGTGCCTGCATAGGCAGATGGTCTACATGGGATGGTCTACATAGGACAGTCTATACAAACAGTCTACATAAGACAGTCTACACAGACAGTCTACCCAGGACAGTCAATATATAAAATCTACACAGGACAGTCTACACAGATGGTCCACACAGGAGAGTGGCTATCCAGTTATTGGCTGTCCTCGGCTATCCCAACAGAGTGAGGAGGGCAGGGGGGAGTATAGGCAGCTGGGGAGCTGAGGGCAGCCATCCAGGGGTACCTGGAAGTGTGATGAGCCTGGGCACTGGGACTCCGTAGCCCAGAGAACATGGTAAGAAACTAAAACCAGAAAAGTTTGTCCTGGCTAAAGTTTTAAGAGTGGTGAGAGGTCTGTTTCCAGGGGTCCAGGGCCAGACCCTCAGGGGTCCGTAAGCCACACCATGGATTATCCTGAGGCAAAGGGAACCACACAAGGGTTTTCAGCTGGGAAGAACTGTGGTGAGACTTGGATTTGAGAAAGCTCATTCTGGAAGCATGGTACAACATGAACTGAGGGGAACAAGTCAATAAGGAGAGGTGACTAGACACATCGACACAGATGCAGGAGTAGTGGCCTGCAAAAACGGACACCGTGCAGCCACACACCAGCCCAAGGGGTGTTTGAAAAGTTGCAAGAACTTAGAATGACACACATCCTGAAGCCAGTGCTCACTCAGGAGGACTGGCAGGGCCAGGCGTTTCGGGTATTGAATGCAGACAAATCTCCTCTAGAGTGAGCTGCTCCCACAGCTCCACAGGGGTAGCTCTGCAGAAGTCACACTCTCCCCAGCCAAAATATCAGACACCATGAAGATGCACTAAGAACTTGCTTTACAGCACTAAGAACCTGCTTTTACCAAAGCAGGTCTCCGTAACTCCACGCACAAGTCCACACTGCGACAAGAAGTGCACAGGCAGCACAAGCAGGGGGAGCAGCACACATCACACATGCAGAGGGAGTGGCCGAAGAGGTCAGTGCAATTCTGCATCCTCCCTTTCACTCACTTCACTGACTTGTTGACAACCAACGTGCATTTATATGCGGCTGTTTTAATATTTTTAAAAAATGAGAGTATGTAAAGGAAATAGAAAAGAAAAAAAAATTAAACATCTAGATGAAAACGGTAACTGTATGAAGTGCTACGCGTGGTCGCACGAACAGCAAATGAATCTGAGACTTACCGAGCCTTTCTCCATCACTCTGTTGAGCATGACGACACCCCTGCTCTTCTGCTCCCACACCATCTCCCAAAAGTGCCCACACGTGTTAGGCAAAGGACCCTGCAAAAACACAGTAACGCAGCATGTGACATATGAAACATAAACATCTACAGCAGGTGCTCACTTTCTGTAGTCAACTAATGATAGTGCCCTCAGTCCTCACAGCTAAGGCAGAGTGGTGGGAGGCTGGGACAGGGACCTACCTCTCCCTGCCTGGTGGTCAGTAACTGCAGTTCAATTTCTATCAGGCAGCAAAAGCCCATTTCTGCCTCTCAGTTCAGAGCTGGCCAACCAAGGACAGAAAAATGCTGGATTCTGCTTTCTGGCTCAGGCAGGCTGGCCAAAGGTCGCCACTGAGATTCATCTCCAAGGTCCTTGGGCTATGGGACAAAACTCCTTGGTGCAGGTGAGAGGCAGTGTGGGGGTGTGACCACGACCCTTCTCCTGGTTTCAGTCCCAGCTCCAATCACATCACCTTGTGACCTTGGGCAAGTCACTTCATCTCTCCCTGCCTCAGTCTCCCCATCGCTTACTTCACTAATAATAGTACCTATTCACAGAGCTGTGAAAATGAAGTACATTCATTTAAAGTCCTTAGCACAGTCCCTAGAATGCAGTAAACACCCAATGAAACATCAGCAACTGTTTCTACCATCAGCCATGATGACCCTGACGGCAGACAGCCTCCATCCTTGGACCAATGAACTTAGGAGATGTCAGAACACAAATGGTCATTCAAGGGACCAAGGTAGCCCAAGGGGGAACAGAGTCACTGTGACATGAGGGTACCTGCTGAGCAGCTAGCCCATCTCACTCCAACTCACCTGGCAATGGGCACAGATGTTTACTGGACACAGGGTACAAATGCCTTGAGTTTGTCTCAGTTATTAGCAGTGTCTGGAAGAGACCTCATCTATCACCTCCACATCAGAACTTGTCATGTGCTTGTCCAGAACTACTTCTTCTGACAGTTTCCATTCTCACCTGCTTTCATTTAAGCCCCTCCTCCACCCTCCGCTTTGTTTTTTTGTTTTGTTTTTTGAGACGGAGTCTTGCTCTGTCACCCGGGCTGGAGTGCAGTGGTACAATCCTGGCTCACTGCAACCTCTGCCTCCCGGGTTCCAGCAATTGTCCTGTCTCAGCCTCCTGAGTAGCTAGGACTACAGGCACCCACAACCACACCCAGATCATTTTTATAATTTTAGTAGAGACAGGGTTTCACCATGTTGGCCAGGCTGGCCTTGAACTCCTGACCTCAAGTGATCCACCTGCCTTGGCCTCCCAAAGTGCTTCGATTACAGGCGTGGGCCACGTTGCCTGGCCCATAAGCTCCTTATTCTTTCAATGTTCTCCCTTTAAGTCCCATCCCACTTGGCTCAACCAGGCTAGCCCTCAATGTCCTCTTCCTTTCTCTCCTGAGCTCATCGTTTTGTTTTTTTTTTTTTTTTTGAGACGGAGTTTCGCTCTTGTTACCCAGGCTGGAGTGCAATGGCGCGATCTCGGCTCACCGCAACCTCCGCCTCCTGGGCTCAGGCAATTCTCCTGCCTCAGCCTCCTGAGTAGCTGGGATTACAGGCACGTGCCACCATGCCCAGCTAATTTTTTTGTATCTTTAGTGGAGACAGGGTTTCACCTTGTTGACCAGGATGGTCTCGATCTCTTGACCTCGTGATCCACCCGCCTCGGCCTCCCAAAGTGCTGGGATTACAGGCTTGAGCTACCGCGCCCGACCAGCTCATCTTGAACTTACTGCCTGAACAAGAAAAGTCAGCACTCCCTGTGCTGAAGGCAAAAAAGCAGATCACATTTAACTCCTCCCTCCCCAGCAAACAGAAAAACAGCTCCTGGAAGCCAGAAATCCTGTGGCACCTGGCTGGCCACCTGGGCCTTGCATTCTCTGCCCTGGCATGAAGACCCCACTCACTGCAGCTCTCCACTACTCCCTTGGTGCCCTCCCTTACCTGTGAAGGATCACAATCTTGTAAGATCTGCAAGGACACATACCACCCTTAGCTGACACTGCGTGGGGGGAAGTTTCCTTTGATGTGTTGCTTCTTAATACTTGGACTTGCTACACTCTAGGGCCATGACTATGCTTTCTTTGGGGTGGCCTCTCTGGAGCCCTCACATTCTTCTGTGACCGGAGGCAACCACGACAGCTGTGAGAGCGGTGTCCCAGCTGACCTTGGACCTGGCAAGGCCTAGGGACACCCCTGCTCCTGGGCCCACACTCCTATTGGTCTTGATCCTCAGCTCACCTCCTCCTGGACCCTGTGCAGGGCTGGCAGTGCTGGGGAGCAGCAAGGGCCGGGAGGTGAAGGAGGGCCCCTGGACGTTATTCTCTGCTCTTCTATACTTCTGACTTTTACAAAATGAGAAGAGAGACTTGTATTATTACATAATGAACAATATTGAAAAAAATGGGAAGGGTGTTCCTGGTTTAAGCGCTAGGGAAATGTTTCAGTCATAGTGCCTAGGGGTGATGCTTTGGGGTCAGGCTGTCTTGACTCCTTTAGTAAATCCCCATGGCAAAGGGAAACTGTGTAAACAGCTTCTCGACATCCCCAGGGCCACCTCACAAACCAGACAGAGCTTCCCATGTCCCAAGGAACGCTAGGATGTGGCATAAGCAGGGCAGCAGCGCAAGTGTCCACGGTCATTTCCAATGCAACACTTGGCATGAAACACCCTCTACCAGGTATTTAAAGGGCTTGCTGACTCCACAACAGAGTTGAATGGCTGAAATCAGGAGGCAGGAAATTTGACTTTTCCAAAAAGTTAAGTCCTCAAAAAGTCACTTTTGCCTCAACCTCATCCCCAGGCATCTCCCTCATTATTAAACCCCTCCCCAATCAGCCTCCCCTAAATGCCCAGAGACGCTGGGAGAACCAGGGGCTCGGAGCCTGGTAAGATCTGCCCTGTATTCATGCACCGAGAACTTACTCAATGGCCCCACAGGACTGAACACAGCTGGGCTGATGTTCTATATCCAAGATGACCAGAGGCATCTGGGCTGATTTTGGTCATAAAGGGGGAGGAACTGGGACAGGACAAAAAGGCAGTGAAGAAAGGCCTCAGCTGAATGCACCCTGACCTAGCTCCTGGCTCAAAGCAGCCTTTCTTCACAGTGCGTTCTGGCTTCCCCAGAATTTTAATTTCCAAACTTAAAGCAAAATTACGATGTTCAAAATCATCCTATAGCCTAAAGCCATATGAGACTGATCAGCTGACATGGAATGAGAAAACAAAAATTATGATGAAAAACAAAACGAAACAAGAAACCCAGTCTTTTTAGACCAACTTATAGGTAACAAGTTAAGACTTGAGAAAATTAATTGAAAAGAAACTCCTTTATCCTCTTTCTCAGGCACTCTTTGGTCACATGTCACTGAGTGTTTTACAAGAGGCTCAATTATTAAACCACGTTCAGGATTTTGTTTCCATAAAGATGCCAAAAGCCAGCAGAAATTTTAAGTGATTTTTCATGCTTGTTCACATGATCTAATGATGCCGTTTTTCTGGGTGAAAGAATGAGGATCATGCTGAGCTATTCTGAATGGCTCTGGACAGAGATTCCTGCTCTACTGCTAACGCTCTTAGATTTGCCATCACAAGTGCTTGACGCTCTGAGACAAATACTTCTGGAAGCAACACAGGTACAGACTAGACTCTCCTCCAGCCATGGTTCTGCTGCCTCTGCTGCCTCTGCCAACAGACCACAGGCGACTCTGGCATTTGAACGTTGTTTTCTATGAGCTCTCATTCCCAGCAATGTCATCTTATGCTTCCCAAAAAAGATTAGTGTTACAACTAAACTGAACCTTTGAAGGAAGATTTTCCTCCCTTCCTTGCTTTTTGGTTTGCTGAAAACCTGACCTTCTAAAAGATGTCGCAGATTTTATTTGAGGTGTGGATAACAACACTCTCAAACTCTTCACGCTAAAAAAAAAAATTCAGACAATCTGCTTACCTGGGTAAGAATGTAACTCCTTTGGGCTTCTTCCATTTTTATCAAACTAGCGTTGATATAGTCGTTATCTTCTTGATGTAGTTTAATCCGACTATGGTCAACTGAAAGGCAAAGCAGAACTCAGAGGTTAATCTCAGAAAAGCAGAATGTGTACATGCAGGTGCGTGCCCTACAGAAAAGCAAAGGTGAGTTGGTGGCACGAGGAGCATTCACACTGGCTAAAGGTGAGTTGGTGGCACGAGGAGCATTCACACTGGCTAAAGCCCTGTTTTAGTCGAGATTAGTCATGAGTATGGGGTGACTGGTATTTTCAGAAAGGGTTTTCTGAAGTGTTTGAAACTTCACGCTATGTAGCAATAGCGGGAAGTATATTAAAACAGAGATCACGTCCTATTTGGGAAATCTGCTCTTAGGTCATATCTGGTGATACTCATCACTCTTCCTAAAAATCTTCCAGGGCAGAGAGGGGCATCAAAGAATCTGTTCTCTGATGCGTGACTTTTTTTTATTTTTTATTTTTTGAGATGGAATCTCACTCTGTTGACCAGGCTGGAGTGCAATGGCATGTTCTCAGTTCAACGCAGCCTCTACCTCCCAGGTTCAAGTGATTCTCTTGCCTCAGCTGCCTGAGTAGCTGGGATTACAGGTGCGGGTCACCCAGCCCACCTACTTTTTGTATTTTTAGTAGAAACAGTTTCACAATGTTGGCCAGGCTGGTCCCAACCTTCTGGCCTCAAGTGGTCCACCTGCCCCAGCCTCCCAAAGTGTTGGGATTACAGGCGTGAGCCGACATAAACTTTTATAGGGCAAAAATATGGTGGCTTCAATCTTTAAAAGGGATCAAAATCCACCATAAATTCCAGCTAGTCCCTACAGTTGTTGCTGGTACAGTGAGCTATAGTAGGTAGGATTTAAGATCGAACTTCAACCTAACCTCTGTCCAATGGTTTGAAGATTAAATGACCTAAGTACACAGCAGCATGAAGTCACACTTGACCTGTATACAAGGTTTTGTTTTTTTAAGTTCAAGTATAATGAATTTCAGTGATTCTAAACTTTTAAAATTCAAAGCATATCACAAAGACATCTGAAAGAGAATTTAACCGGGAAAAACTGAATCCCAAACACTGAAAGTATATTAAATGTACCTTTTAGTTTTTAGAAATAAACTTTCATCTGGAAGTTCTGCCCCAGATCCCTGAAAAAACAGAGGCACTTTTTTTTCTCGTATCATTTGTTTGTCACAAAAGCAGTAGCTCCCTGAGGGCCACTTTTCTTATCCTATTAGTAGAGCTAATTAGAGCCGATGGGTACTTTTATTTCTGGCACAGCACAAGGGACAATACACTCAGGTGACCACCCGTAAATAGCATCTTCTCCCTGGGACCAAAGGGAAAGGAGACGTGATTGGGAGTAAGTGGTCTGGGGCTTTTTGTTCTAAAGAAGGATTCCAAAGAGAGATGCTTTTGAAAACTAGCCACCACCTGGAATACTATTTCTTATTACGGAGGCTTAGGACTAATAGAGATACTAGGATCATTTTTAAGTGGATAATAGAGATAAAAGATCTAAAAAATAATTACATAATGGTATTGGTGGGTTATGTGAGTGGGTTCAAACGCCACTGAGTGATTCTGGGCAATCAACTATCTCAGAGCCTTGGTTTTTTTCACTTGCTAAATGGTAGGTGACAAGAGGGTCGAAGGAAGAGTCAATGAGCTGAGGTGTATACAGAGCCACTTTCAGCAAGTGCCCGTAACTGCCGGCTGCCGTCACCAGCAGCAGCACTGTGAGCTGGGCAGGATTCTACCTTGACTCATTCTCCCCCATAACCTTCACAGCAAATGACTGTTTCTACTGGAGGATAGGAGGAGGGGAGGAAGATATGAGGAGTGAGACTGGGAGTGAAAAGTTGGAGAACTGTTTCCCTGGAAGAATTTTTTTTTTTAAGGCTAGTCAGGTGAAGCAGTGGACAGGGAGAAGGAACAAAGAAATCTGTAACCGGTTATGACCAAGTAGCTATAAACCCCACTGCACTCGGACCAGCCCCTGGAAGAATATTTTAAATACTGATTTTTCTCTCTGCAAAACTGATTTATAAAACCATTTAGATAAGAAATGTTAAAAAATGTAGCAAAGGAATATTAAAGACAAGATTATTCCCTAAGTAGAGCAAGTAGAGCAAAAGCTGGAGACCCAGGGTATCCTGGCACCACGTGCAAGAGGTGGACAGTGATGTTTCTGTCATTCTCACGTGTCAGACCTGTCCATGGTCTGGTGGTTTCTGGCCAGGACTTCCCAACAGAACCACCAAGATTTTTAGTTTTTGTTTTTAAACAAACATCAATGAGGCGCCTCAGCTGAGATGTGTGAAATCAAGAGTACAATGTGTTGACGCCAATCATGTCACCTGATGATCTACAAGTGCACTGCAGATGCCGGCGACAACCATCCCCACCACAGACTGCATTTACTGAGCACTTATGTCTGCATGAGGTACTGGGTGCTGGGCTAAGCAGCTTACATTGCTTCAATTCATCTTCATGCACTCCCGTGAGAGAGAATAATTTGCCCAAAGCCACTCAGTTCTAAGTGGCAGAGCTGATAAAAAACGAGGCAGGGAACCATGGTGGCAGGCCAAGAGGCACACTTTCTACACCAAGTCCAGGTCCATTTTTACACGCCTCCCAGGATCTGGGCGCCATGTAAGTCAGGTCAGGATGCATTGCTAACCCTTCTGGCAGAGAACAATGCCAACCACCACTCACAGCCACGAGCACAGGGGATGCAGGAGGTGCACACTGGAGGAATGACTGGTGAATCTTCTGCATCCCTGGCACAGCATACTACCACGGAGACACTGGCAGCTATGACCTCTCACTCACTGACAGTGTCTGAAGGCCTGGAGGGGAGTCAAACAGGCCTCTGTGGCCTAGAGGAGATGGTGCAGTTCAAGTCCTGTACTCGGCTCCAGTTTTTCCTACTTTATGCAAATTCTAATAATGTTATTTACTTTCCAGCCACCGCAGATTGACAGCCAATCACTCAGAAGGTGGACACGGCTGCCACAGGCCAGCAGGCACACTGACAATCCTAGGAAGAACTAACGTCAGGAAAGAGGGAAAAAAACGACAAATGAAGTTGGCGGGGGTGGAGGTGGTGGGGACCCCAAGCAGAGCTGCCTTGCATATTCAGTGCAGGGGACAACAGTGTCCACCCCGAATGCCTGTGCGGAGCTTCATTACAGCTGAACACAGTACTTCGGTTCTAATGATGCTGCTGCTGAGTCATCCAGAAAAGGTTTTATTATGCCTGCTCTACTCTGCTTCAGCTGGTAGGAAAATGATTCATCACAAAAACAGTTAAGGAAAAAAAAAAAATGCTTTGAACTTCACTAAATTTTCCAGAAACTGAAACCTTACCCCTTCTATAATGGTGGAAAAATTAGCCATTACTATAAGTCTCTAATACCTTTACTATAGGAAACAATCAAGTCATAAACCTCTGCTACTATCGATTTCTTATTATATTAAACCCTGAGGCGAAAGGAGTCTTGACTAAAAGGGCCTGCGGCAAAGGAAGAGCAGGACTGGTACCAGCCACGTGCATACTTACAGGGACTGACATCTCTGTACCTATTTCGGTTTTTGTTCTTAGGAAGCTTGGCCACTCTACATGGGAAGTCACTGGCTTCGTGTCGGATATCCTACAAAAAAGAATAAAGACATTTAACTAACTGCCAGGCACTGAGAAAACTCAGCACAGAAACAGACATCAAAGAGAGCCAGGCAGTATGGGAAACGCAAGGTAACAATTCAGAGGTATGTACCAGGTCATGGGCGAAAACCAAGGAGGAATGAGCAAAGGCCTGGAGTGGGAGGCCGTGCCGTGGGACAGAAAAATGGAAAGATGAGGAAGAGGGCAGAGAGACAGAGAGGAGGGGCAACTCACTCCAAAACACCCTGCATGGCAAAGGCATGGGGGCTGGAGATTGCATCTTATGCCAGGAACAGTGAGTGGGCAGTAGGAGGCGTGACAGACGGCTGGAGGACACGGGTGGGTAGGCCAGATCTTGGAGAGCCTTGAATGCCAGGCCTGGGGATTCCAACTGAAACTTCTATAAAGCCACAATTATTAAAAATAGATAATATGTACTTTTATGTCAACCAACTATTCAACTGCTTTCCTTGGAGGTGGTAAACAAATCCTACCACCCCTGTTTCAACAGAAGACTACACCATGCCTCCTGATCACACCTAAAATTCCACTATAGTTCACATTCAACCATCTTTATTTGTATTTATTACTAAAAAACAAATACACACAACATGAATGTACTTACTGCCACTAAACTGTGTAGCCGTTTGGCTAAAATGGTACATTTTATGTTTTGCATATTTTACCATAATTTAAAAAAAAAAAAAAGGCCCCACTTCCCAGGTGAAAATAGGAGAGCAGACAACAGCAACAGAATTCTGGAAGCTGGAAATCAAGCTGATTAGTGGTTGGCACTTGTGAGAAAGCACAATTAAAGGGAACAGTAGGAAAGCCAGAACCGCCGCAGATTTCCACTCCAGAGTCCTCCAAAGGCTCTGGCTCTGCTCCCAGTCTGGAAGGAGGAGTGGGATTCCCTGCAGGGTACAAAGGTAGAGCCATCTGGGAAGACTTGGATTGCCATCTCATTCCCCAAGCTCCTTCCATGCTCCTCAGACTTCTGCATAACTCTATAAAGACACGCTTTCTGGAAAAATGTAAACCAGGTCTCTGAACTGCAGCAGGACTGCTGGCACAGTGGAAGATACGAGTTCTCCACCAAAAACAGGGTAAGAGACTGGGCGCAATGGCTCAGGCCTGTAATCCCAGCACTTTGGGAGGCCAAGGCAGGCGGATCATGAGGTTAGGGAATCGAGACCATCCTGGCCAACATGGTGAAACCCTGTCTACTAAAGACACAAAAATTAGCTGGGCGTGGTGGCATGTGCCTATAATCCCAGCTACTTGGGAGGCTGAGCCAAGAGAATCACTTGAACCAGGGAGCTGGAAGTTTCATTAGCTGAGATTGTGCCAGAATAAGACTCCGTCTCAAAAACACAACACAACACAACACCACACCACACCACACCAGGGTAAGAGTAGCCATGCACAAGCCAAACCCCAGGAACTCGAGTCCTTTTCCCCAGGAGCTCGAGTCCTTTTCCCCAGGAGACACTCATGCTGCTGGCAGCTAGACCCTTCTCCTCTGGGTAGGAGGCAGAGCAGCTCTAGATAATCTGACCACACAAAAGGCACAACCAAAAGATACTATCCTCAGAGTGTTTGACTGGCCACCTCCCTAGAGGCCCTGTGGCCAGCCCAGAGTTGACAGGCCCCGTACACCTGCTCAAGGCTCTCATTCTCCTATAAGCCCGTATTCTCCATCATGTGCAGATACCACTGGTGACCAGATATAACAGGAAAGTCTCTAACAGAAAAACAAAAAATAAAAACCAGAAAAAAAAGCCCCTTGGAGGAAACAAACTGCAGAGAATAGAAAGATTTAAATATACATATTAATATATTCAGAAAGAAAAGATTCTTGTATCTATGTATTAAGAACGGAATGTTATATAAAACAAAGATGTCTCTCAAAACTTAAAAACAATATAGCAAAAAATGACAAGCTCAACTGAAGAATCAAATATAAGTAGAAGAAATCCCCCCTCCTAAGAAGGTAAAACCAAGGGAAACAAACAAACAAACAAACAAACAAAATTAAGCAAACCAAAAAAAAAAAAAAATACAAGGAAAGAAAACATCAAAAAGTAATTCAAGAAAACCTCCCCAGACCCATCTAGTACTCATCATAATGATAAAAACGGACCCATTTTAAGGCACATTAATTGCAATCCCAGAATTCTGGGGACAAGGAGAATGTTCTGTAAGTTTCTGGGAAGAAAAAGCAGTTCCCTTTCAAAGGTTGAGGTGATTAGCATAGCTTCAGACTTTGCAAGAACACAGCAAGCTGGCCAGCAATGAAGCAATGCTTTCAAGATCGTAAGAACAGTAATTTCCAACCTGGAACTCTACACCTAGCCCATGTCATAAAATGAGACGGGACAATAAAAACATTCCAAGGTGGGTGGATTGCCTGAGGTCCGGAGACCAGCCTGGCCAACACAGTGAAACCCATCTCTACTAAAAATACAAAAAATTAGCTGGGTGGTGGTGGTGGGCGCCTATAGTCCCAGCTACTTGGGAGGCTGAAGCAGAAGAATAGCTTGAACCCGGGAGGTGGAGACTGTGGTAAGCAGAGCCTGCGCCATTGCACTTCAGCCTGGGCAACAAGAACGAAACTCCGTCTCAAAAAAAAATAAGAAAAAAAGAAAAAAAAAATTCCCTGACGTGTAAGGTCTCAAAAGCTTTATCGTCCATGCTCCCCTTTTCCCAGTAACCCACTGGAGCATGTTTTCCATCTGAATGATGAAATAAATCAAGAAAGAGGAAGATATAGGATACATGGGGAAAGGGTGAAGACCCAAGAGTGAAGACAAAGGAAATTTCTACAAAAATTGGAGGGACGGGCCGGGTACAGTGGCTCACACCTGTAATCCCAGCACTTTGGGAGGCCGAGGTAGGCGGATCACGAGGTCAAGACATCAAGACCATCCTGGCCAACATGGTGAAACCCCATCTCTACTAAAAATACAAAAATTAGCTGGGCATGGTGGCACGTGCCTGTAGTCCCAGCTACTCAGGAGGCTGAGGCAGAAGAATCGCTTGAACCCGGGAGGCGGAGGTTGCAGTGAGCCGAGATTGAGCCACTGGGCTCCAGCCTGGTGACACAAGACTCCATCTAAAAAAAAAGACAAAACAAAAAAAGCCCTAGAGGGACGAGAAGACAGGGTGACAACTACATAGCAGACACGGGAAGCGAGCAGCCTGGACTGGAAAAGTACGACTCAAGAGACAGCTGCATGAACATGCTGTACCAACCACGGCCTGGGGAGACTACCAGAGGAAAATGAGAAGACCTGAAGTCCAGGAAACTGGGCATCCAATAGAAAAGAACAGCTCAAGATGGCAGATGTGAGTGGGCAAATCTATAGAACAAACAGCCAGATATACGGAGAATGGAAATTTCAAGTAGGATGTCTTCGAGGAAAAACTTGAAACAAACTGCTCAGTAACCTCTGGCCACATGTGGCCAGTCTGAAGAGACGTTCTGTAAGTGTAAAATACACATTGGATTTGAAGACTTAGTAACAAAATAAACAACAGCAAAATATCTCAACTATTTTAAAATATTGATCATCTATTAAAATAACATTTTGAACAAACTAGGTTAAGTAAAAGATACTATTAATTTCATCTGCTTCTTTTGAACTTTTTTTTTTACTATGGCTACAAGAAAAGGTAAAATCATGTATGTGGGTTGTATGATATGCCTACTGGAGAGCACTCACTGATCTTGTAGAAAATTGTTCTGAAAGGCTGTAAGAAGATATGGGAAGAATTAGCAAAAGGTACAAAGAAAACTATGCAAAAAAAAAAAAAAAAGACAATTATCATGTGGGTGTGGTGGCATGTGTCTATAATCACAGCTACCTGGGAAGCTAAGGCAGGAGGATAACTTGAGCTCAGGAGTCTGATTAGTCTGAACAACACGGCAAAACCCTGCCTCTACAAAAAACACAAAAATCATCTTGGCATGGTGGCAAGTGTCTGTAGTCTCAGCTACTCAGGAGGCTGAGGTGGGAGGACTGCTTGAGCCCTGGAGTCCTGGTCTGCATGCGCTATGCTGACTGGGTGTTGGCACTAAGTTTGGCATCAATACGTTGACCTCCCAGGAATTCGGGACCACCAGCTTCCCTAAAAAGGGGTGAACGGGCCCAGGTTGGAAATGGAGCAGGTGGAAATTCTTGTACTAATCAGCAGTGGGCTCACACCTGCGAAGAACCCCTGAACTCTAGTCTGGGAAACAGTAAGACCCCATCTCTATAAAAAACAAACTGGAGAAAAAAATTTTAAAGGCCATTATTAACAGTGGAAATAATGTTTAAAAAAGAAAGGCAGTACAGTATCTGTGACTATGTGCAGAGGCAAATAATGCAAACAATGAGTACTGATTTAACCAAAAGGTAAAACATTGGGAGAATGGGGAGGTGAAGCAGAAGGGTGAAAAAGCAAAGGGGATGGCTGTTTAAGAAAACGAAAGCCTCCCCCTTAATAATGGTCTAGATTGCTCTATCAAAAGAAACATTTTGAGCTGGACACAGTGGACTGTGCCTGTAGTCCCAGCTACCTGGGAGGCTGAGCCAGGAAAATTACTTGAGCCCATGAGTTTGAGGCTGCAGTGAGCTACAATGGTCCCACTGTGCTCCAGCCTGGGCGACAGAGTTAAGACCCTAACTTTGAAAAATAATAAAAAGAATTTGTAAGTTTAAAAAAGATAAACATTTTTCTTAGAAATATGGAGATATAAACTGTAATCAATCAGCAGCTCGAAGATTGGAAGTGGTGGTTGATGAGGAGAAAGACCAGTGAAATGGTCACAGGTGGCAAACCACTAGATTTTTTGTTTTTTTGAGATGGAATTTTGCTATTGTTGCCCAGGCTGGGGTGCAATAGTGCAATCCCGGCTCACTGCAACCTCCACCTCCTAAATTCAAGCGATTCTCCAGCCTCATCCTCCTAAGTAGCTAGGACTATGGGCATGCACCACCAGGC